CCGATTTCTGAGTTCTGAAGGTTGGCAAGTATGCCTAACCCTCACCCTCTGAAAACAGTGACACAAATGTTCTTTACCCACTTGTAAAGCATAAGGCTGTCATTCAGGTTTCAAATATTGTTTTGAATATTACTTTCCATGTTCTTGGCTGAGGTCTTGAAGGACAAATCAGCAACAATTGTGGTAAAGGCAAGAGTGTTTGGAATATATTCAACATATGAATGGAGAGTGCGGTAGTGATGTGGTGGTTTGAGATGTTTCAATAGAAATGTTGATATTTGCCGTCAAACTGAGTCTAAATAACCCTTGAATTGAATCTAATTTGACTGCAGCTGTCATTTCAAAACCACCTTTCCTTTAAGAAGGATTGAACCGTGGGGTGTTATACCTCCACTTAATATAACATTGCTTTCACATTACAAACTCAGTGTTACCCATGTGTGTGTGTCTTGCACTAACTTTTGGTGTTTTTTTCTCAGCTGCCGGCTCCACCACCACCACAGCAAAGACCTCCAGTCATGTGACCCGCTGCAGTGACAAGCAGAGGAACTACTGTGTGAACGGAGGGGAGTGCTTCACCCTTGAGATCATGCCCGGCAGCACAAAGTTTCTTTGCAGGTACGACAAGGACATTTAATACGTTTGAAGCATCTACTGTGATTTATGATATCTGCTGTATGTTGAGTAACGAAAACAGAATGTAACTTTGGAGAAAGGTGTTGGGAAACCTACACATATTTAACTTTCAACATAAAAAAATATGATGGAAACAACATTCTATTATAAATAATTTAACATAAGAAATAAGATACATTAGTAGTGTAAAACGAGTTAATTGGTTTATTATTTCTTAATTCTTATTGAAATAATTTTTGAGCTACAGCAAAGATGGCTGAATAACAACCAGTGACATCCTTCCAACACCCTTCATGTGTCTGAACACGCACATAGCTTAGCTATAAGCTTAGCTTATCAAGCCACCTGCTCCAAATAAATAGCGGGTAGGAGTTATTTGCTACTGCTGGGTCCAAACTAAAAGGAAAACTATTAAACACAACAGAACATGGTTGTATTTTTGCAATAATTTCAGAGATGCTGTACTCTGTAACACAAATCTAGCCATATCTTACACATTGCACGTTAAATTAAAATCCCTTTAACATAGCAGTTAATACCTGTCCCTCTCTCTCATATGCAGAATATTCCATGCAAAAGACGTACGACATTACAGGTCTATAACTTCTGTCGAGTGTTTTAGTGATTGTTATTCGTTGTCAGATGAGACTGTATTCAGTGGCTGGCACACAGACATCCAAATAGTCCAAAGATAAATATTTAGGCAAACCTAGAGGCTACCCAAAACATGCTTGAGTGATTTGGTTCGGACCAGTGGAAATTCTGTGTGTTGAATGCAAATCTACAAGCTTAGAGATCCACAAAAGCCTTTTTGATTCACTAATAAAAACTGTATTCACGATTCTTTGGAAAGTAAATGTCAGAACATATTTACAAATTATTTTCAGTTACTTGTAAATCCCTTTTAAGTCTGAAATGTGTTAATGTATTTGGAAATATTTGCAAAAACCTTTTTAGTTATCATTTTTTGCAATATTTTGCATTTGTGGAAGAGGTTTTCCAATGTACAGATTTCAGATTTAATCTGTTCAAACAATTACAATGGAGTGATTCCAAAAGGAGGTCATGGTCTAATAATGAAACCATTGGAACCACATCGTCTGCAGAAAGGGGCGCAATTCCCCAGGCTGCACACTCTGACATCATTGGCTGCATCCTGCGGGACACAACCTGGGCCCTGCACCACTTCCCCATTGGGAGTCGATTGAAGGTGGAACAGAACTTTCTTGAAGCCAACTGAAAGTCCTTCTCCATAGACTTCCTGAACTGCGACTTGCGTTGTATCTTCTCGTACCTCTCTGGTTCTTCCGGAGACCCTTGGCCTTCTGTAGCCCAAAAGGCCCCCTTTGTTCTTAGTCCGCCAACACTGGCAATGGAGGTGAAGGTTTGAACTAGATTCCCTGACTCCAATCTCCCCTGGGATGCTTCTTGTAACTCTTCTGGACGTGGGAAGTTCTGTTCCTCTCTTCGCCTGAATGTCCAAGCCATACTGCAGCAGATCTGATTATATGACCAGTCGTTGACCCCCAATGACAAACTCCCCAATGACCCACCCTTGCCGGTTTCTCCATAGTTGCCTCTCAAGTCCCCAGAATGTATCCTGTTAACATAGCCATGCAAAGACTTGAAGATAAGCAAGTACTCTGATCTGCTGTTTGGTACATAAGCACAAACAACTGTAAGATACTCCCATGTGACCCTCTTGACCACAGCAGTGCTCAGATGGGGGCCAACAAGTATTCCTCTCACCCTGAGCAACTCTGGAAAGGCGATGGTCAAACCCCTTCCCAGGCGTTTGTTTCACAACCCAACTGTTTTCATTCCCATGTGTCATTGCTGGTGTTTCGACCCCGTCATGTCTAGGTGAGCCGAACTCAATCTAGTTGGTTCTGCTTCACCTCCAATACTAAATAATACAATCCTTTTCCTTCCAGAGAGGCGACCTTCCACAACCCTAAATCGTCTGAGATGTCAGTTCGCCTAGGGCAATTAGCTTTGTACCGTCAGCCAAGAATTACATTATATTGGGCGATTCTGCAGCTTTTAATTTAGCTTTAATACTACAGTATCATTCAGTGCCAATGTAGGAAGCAAGTGTGCTCTTTGGCGATCTGGAAAGTACATCAATGAATTGGAGTCTGGGTGGTGGGTGTAGCACATCTGAGTCGAGCATGAAACTATAGGTCGTGTCTGGTCAAAAACAAACCCACAATAGTTCCCTTTAGCTGCATTTTTACACTTGGCATACACACCTTTTTACTCGCTAGTGAAAAAGAGCACCCAGACAGCCAGCTAATGCTAACCCTAGCCTTGTCTGGCCCATTCGAGGGACCTAAAGATTGGGAGGCGACGCAGGGCACATTATTATTCATCTTAAACATACCATAGAGAAGGAGATATTGTAGAGAATTTTAGAGCCATTGGATTTGACATTAAAGAACTTTAAATCAACGATAAAGGAAACAGGGTTGCATTCTGGATCCTCCCATGTGTTGTGACTGTCCCCCGGATGTCTCTGTGTTTGTCTATGTCTTCCCATGTCTTGTGTGTAAAATTCAGTACTATTTATTTTTCCTTTCTACCCATCAACCAGGTGCTTGGCGGGATTCACTGGGCACCGATGTGAACAAGCTGTGCTTAAGAAAGTCTCAGACCCAAAACGTATGTGAACCCAACTGTATTCAATCCCACATGTCATTGCTGGTGTTTCACCCCCCCCCCCCCCCACGTCATGTTTTCTCCAAGAAACTGTGGAGAAATCCATGTTTTCCCTAAATAAAGGGATTCAGTTCCAATTTTATAAGTTCAACATTCAAGGGTGAGCCCTCCGGAAAGGCTCGAGCACACTCTCCTGTTGAGTAGTGCGCTGAAATTTGCATGTACTTCACATCTCATCACACCCCATCCATTCAGTTTTGATTTCTACTTATACTCCCTGCATCAGAACCTTATCCCAATGGTCCCATGCTAGACTGACCACTATGTGACTAGTAAAGCAGGGAGGATTTGTATCAAACACACATTTTGTATACAGGAGACCCAAGGATTCACTAGTGAGGCAGCTAGCTCCAAATCACTAGTAGAGACATTACTGGAAGCCATCAATACCCTTTGTAATAGCCATGTTGTATGACTTAACATTTGGATGGGGTCATACTGTAACACCCCTTATTTGGGATTATGTTAAAGCAGGAACAGGATTGTCCGAATACGTACATGCAAATTTCAGTTCGCTTCCACAACAGTGATCAAACCTATAGAGTTTGATTGGAGGGCCTTTGGAATTAAAGAGCTGTTTCTGATATAATCACCCTCAACTGAAGACCTCAACTCGATGTGCTTGTGTATGAAGGTCTGAGAATATGAATCCCTCCATAGCTGGTTATATCGGTCTATATATGGCCCTTTCTGTCAACACCAGTAATGACTGTTGTGGGTTTTGCACAGCTCTTGTATAAACTAACTTCTTCTCTCTTTGTCTGTTTCTTGTGTTTCCTGCTCAGGTGTCCAAATGAATTTACTGGTGATCGCTGCCAAAACTATGTAATGGCCAGCTTTTACAGTATGTCTATATCCTTTTTCTATTTTTCCTTGGATTGAAGCATGCTCAGTTAACAGTGTTTGTGTACCTGTGGACCCGTTCCTTAGATGTGTGATTTATGCAGCCCGTAATGTTTCTCGTGTTCTGTGTTTTTTTCAGTTAAAGCTGCATGTGGTGTTGTAGAGATTACATTAATTGTATGTCTATTTCAAATGACTAAACAAGTTTGAAATATACATGTTAAAACCGGACGTCCCAATCCTAACTGTGTCTTCTAGGTCAATTTTACTTTGGTGAACAAGTAGGATGAACATGGTTACAAACACTACTCATTTGTATATTGTTTAGTGACTAAACCACATTTGTTCATTTAAAATACAACTGCCTGAGAAGCTATTGCATGCAGACAATGACACTGGTATTGTATGTAGACCTCTTCAAATCAAAGTTCCCTCTACATTTAGCATATTTTATCTCCTTATCTTTACTTACTTTACCCTAACCCTAACCCTAACCTTGGGCTGACAATGACTGAACAGCTTGACCCTAACCCTAACCCCTTGAGGTGAATCTGGGTGTGTAATGTGGATGCACCAGTTTCCATGCTGTTAAATAATCTTTTGAAATTAGGTACTTCGATAAAAAGTGGTTAGTTGAAGTTTTTGTTAGTTGGCGGGTTCAGTGAGTATTGGGCTGTTACCAGAGTCCAATACAGTGTTAGTGGTCAAGCAGTCTCATAAATGAAGTTCTGATATCTTGACCCTTTTTCTGCATCCACTGCCCATGGGGGTGTGTCATTTTCCTCAAAAAATGTACCAGGGAAGTCTAGAATAAGATTGTGAGACGTAATAGCTAAGCCAACATTATGAATCTCAAAGGGCCTTCTAGTAAGCACTTTGTACTTTGATGAACCAGATAATTGGGTTTTACTTTAAGTGTTATGTTGAATAGTTTCGCTTTGTTTCCTATTGTGTGGTCTCTTTGTCCACATGTACTTTTAGGATGCATGTGTCTCATTGCACAATCCCCAAAAAGAGCAATATGTTCATGTGAAAAGCTGTAGAATGTACAGTAGATACTATAAATCCCCATTTCTTTCCACAACCATAACTCCTACAGGCCCCAACATCAAATACCTACTTGTTGGAGTGAAAGTCTGAGCAAGGGATTCATTGTATGTAGCACAGTTGGTGATACCATACCAGCTATGATTGTTATATAAAGTCTGTTTCATCAACTAATGACGCAATAACCAACACAACACAAAAGGCCATTGGTAATGTGTATGAAGCCGGTAAGGTAGGAAAAATAGGCAAGATAGCCCTCCAGTGGATCCAACAGAATTGTCTGTGGCAAGGCTAAGCACAGGATACAGCGACAATACGTCCTGTGGAAATTAGGTAAATATAGATGAGAATACCAACTAAAATCGATATGGCCGATGGCAGGCTTATAGCTGCAGTCTGCATCCAGTGAATCAGAATATTATCCTGCTGGAGACATAGATATTGACCTTTGGACTTCCTGTTAGGTTTGTGGGAGGCAGGACCTTTAAAAGCAGGTCAGAAATTGGCATATTGGCTTAGGTTTATCTCCAGTTGGCACTTAGAATCGCTTTGACCTTTGTCCTGCTAGGATGATCCCTGACCCCGGGGTCAAGTCAGCAGGAAAAGTAGGGGAGGTTTGCTAAATTCTCTAGGGGGGCCTGTGGGTCTGATTACTACAGATGGTCTTCTTATGAGCAGTTTCAGTTGTTTGTTTAGGAGAGATGTACTTACATTACACATGTTGATGATATCTGGCTCTACTGTGGTTGAATGCACTTCCTCTTTGGACAAAATGCTTTTTACTGTCCCACAGATAGTAGATGGATGTTGGGAAATCAGGTTAACGTGTCTTTTGTGGATCTGGAAAAGTCCTGTGCACTTGACTGTGTACTTAATACAAGCGTTACAGTAAATGTACATGCATGTGTTACCTGTGCAATCCAAACACGAACTGAATTTCAGTTTTTTTCTTTGAGTGCAATTAGGTTCAGGTCACCAAAAGCTCATCCGAGTAATCGTTCACCTTATGTGTGCCGTGATTGTGTATTTCCACAGCAATCTAAGCAATGTAGCTCCCAACCTTTTGGGCGTTGAATAGAGAGGCACATACCACAAGCTTTAAGGAACACCTTTGAGAGAAGTCTGAATAATGGTGATGTTTAGGTGTTTTGAGCTGCTTAATGTTTAAGATTTGAGCTGCTAAATGTTTATTCTAGGTATTTCTACAGTGTATATTGTGTGTATAATGACTGTGTAACCCTGATCACTCGAACTAAATCTGATTGCATCTCTTTTACCTTCACACCACATTTGTGAAAAACTTCAAACCATTCAAATCTGAAAAATCAAATTTTCTTTTTTTTTTGTCACCTTTCCGCACTGACAGAACATCTTGGGATTGATTTTATGGGTATGGATTATTCCTTCCTCCTAGTTTGCAGATGTAAGCTTAACCCCCTCTACTCAAGCTAGTTTCTCTTGAAGGGGTCATACAGCCTTGACCATCAGCACAAATAGGATACCACATATTAGAGCAATCAAAAAATGTCTGACAAAGCACTGTGATGCATCTGAAAGCTATCATTTGGATGTAAAAAAACATGCGATTCAGTGAAACGGTCCAATGACTGCTGATGTATTTGAGTACAAGATGCCGAAGAGGCTGTACATTTCTGACGCTGTATGTCCAAACCCCTTCAGCTCCCCCTCCTGCATTTTCTGTTGCAACTAGTGTTCAGCATGAGACAAAAGAGCAGCATCACTGTCCTCCTACCTCCATCCATCTCTTTCCATCTGCCTTCCTGTTTCCACCTCCACCTCCACCACATGTATGTTTCCTACTGTTCCCTACAGCCCCTCTTCATTATAGCAGCTTTGCAGTCTCATCACACTAAGGCCAGGGTCCTCTTATATCTGCTGAATGGTTTAAACATATCTCTGAAACACTGATATTCTATAAATGAGCCTTTCGTTATGAGATTACACCAGTAAATGTAAAATAAATAGGATATATTATGTACAGTGTGTTTGTCATGTACCTTAATATTATACTGCTAATATACAGTTGGAAAAAATGACCCCTTTGAGCTTCTGATTTGCAAAAAAAGATCACAAAACATGGGAAAGTTGTTCAAAATTAAATCCCCATACCTGCAAAATTGTTAATTAATTCTGCAGGTGTTGGCAGGCTTAGAGCTCCTTGGTGAACAATGTAGGACAATTCAAGAACAAATACAAGTAAAGGGAAACAGGCCAATGGATGGGAGTTCTCTCAGTTATAGATATTTCAACTTCTTGAGTGGTCCTTCAAGAAATTATGTTGAAGGTTTATGAAATACAGAAAAGCAAGAGCCATTGTTGAGAGCTCGACCAAATGTACCTGCGATAGGCTAAATCAGGACAATGCATTGGTTGGGCTTATATTTTCATATTAAAGGGACACAGCTTTTGGAACAGTTGGATAATATTTGTTATGAGAAATATAAAAGACTAGGAAATATCTCTGATGACATCCCTATGAAGTCATGTCTGTTGAGATGCATTATGGGAAGTTTAGGATCCACTGTTTTGGGGCTTGGACTGAAACTTATGATATCTAGGCCTCCGCTGCTTCAAATTTGACCCTCAAAACCGTCTCTCCCTTAGTGCCTTGCAATACTAAATCACTTCCACTTTAAATAGATAAACTGTCAATGCTTTGTCCATCAGACTGACTTATTCTGAAGTAGCTGTCATTCATAAATACCATGTTTGGCTGCTTTGAAAGGTTATTGAATGATGGCCACTCTGCCCAGCTCCAATCCTGTCAATAATAATAGCAAGTAACTCCAAAAACAACGATTCGTTTGGACCGTTGTTTTCTATTTGACCCTTTTAGTTTGGGGTTATGGCTGGAAGGGTCCTAATGTGTGTGTGTGTGTGTGTGTGTGTGTGTGTGTGTGTGTGTGTGTGCGTGTGTGCGTGTGCGTGCGCACGCGTGCTGAAACCTGAAGTTTTAAGATTTGGACTTTCCTCTTTTTCAGAAACGGAGGAGCTGTATCAGAAACGCATTATAACAATAACAGGGATCTGCATTGCACTCCTAGTCGTTGGAATCATGTGTGTGGTTGCCTACTGCAAAACAAAGTAATTCATGTCACATTTTCATTTTTTCACTAATGAATTATGCTGCATTCACACGGATTCAGGCAGGCAGTCACTTTTTAGATTGCATAGGAAAAACCAAATAAATCAGACAAAATGGCAGGAGGGCAAACAAAGGATATGTTGTTATGGTTACAATTGCAGTATATGAATTAAATACTTGTGTGTCTATTGTTTATTAAATTATTCTTGTAATAACCTGGCAGGATTTCAAGCTCTGATCATATATTAGTGTTGTACCACTCAAATTATTTTCTTGTCCAGTTTTGTGAGAAAGTTATGTACGTTTTGTTATTTTCAAAAAGGACAAATTATCTTTTCTCTTTGGGCAGCAACAGAGTGGTGCAGTAATGAGTCCTGAAACCCGGAAGAGACTTAGTATTCTACCACTTCTGGTTCCCTTGTCTCGAAGCCAATGGTTTACTGGATGTGTTTTTGGTTAGATGCCTGAAATAAGATCTGTGGTTAACAAAAGCTGAAGAAATGTTCCCAGTAAATAACCCACTGGTGAATGTCTGAAGCGTCTATGTGTCATAAAAACAGCATTTGCTAACATGTGACTAAATAAACCACTAAACGTCATCATGCTGAACATTAGCCACTTTTAGCTTAGCGTTGATACAGTTTGTTTTTAGCCTAACGTTAGCTTTATATTTCTGCCAATTCAATTTATGCTACAAAGTTAGCCAAACATTAGCCGCCATTAGCTTAGCGATGGTAAATGCGCAACCGTTCGGTATTAGCCTAGCATTAGCTTTTTAGTTAGCATTTACACTTCGAAAACATCCCAAAGTGGGGTTCATATGTGGAGATTATCCTTCTGAACAAAACGTGTGTTTGCTACAAAGCTTATTTTCTGCAATAATCCGAAATCACAAGTGGAAATCCCATTGCTTTTTGTCGAAGGAGCCTTTGAGATGCTATCTTCCAAGTCTACCTACTAAAATATGTCATCACTGCACCACTCTGTGCCGACTATAGCTATTCCTTATCTAATTGTACTGTCCTCTTCCCGTGCACTAAACATAATATCCTGTTTGCTGTCTTCCAACCGCCTGAATCCCTGTAAATGAAGCATTAAAAGGCACACTTTATGATTTTATTATTGGCCCAAAAATCGACGAATCCCCTCAACTAAACCGCTTTACAACCCCCTTTGTTTTTTTTACAATCAGGAAGCGGAGGAAGGAGCTCCACGACCGTGTGAGGCAGAGTCTGAGGAAAAAGAGAAACAACAATAGCAATAAAGGTGTCGACCCCAACATGGCAAGTTCAGCCAGAGGAGGTCCGACTTCTAACTTGCCTCTTCAGGATTTGCAGCTCATCAATGTAGGCTTTTATTTGTTGGTTTCAAGAGAAAAAGCACTCAAAACTTGTGAAATCTGTCAATGCACGTCACCTGACTGACAATCTGTTTTCTTCTCCTTTTGATAGCAAAGTAAAGGGAAGACTGCGCAGCATGCAGCCGAGGGGGGAACAGAAACTACCTTCTCCACAAGCCAAAACGCTTTATCTGCGCATGAACCCACCACATTCACCAACATCTCTAGCCAAAGGTAAAGCAGAATTCAATATATCGTCCGTTTTGATAGATGTAATATCAGGTTTTATCTAGGCGACACATTGAAAAGCCACAAACCTTGGTTCCAGGCAGTTTCCATGCTTCATTTTGCGATTGTTTTTCCTGATGCACCACTGTTTTGGACATGTCTCTGGTGGTAAAAACAACTGGAAATATGCCTTTACAAATAGAAAGTGAATATCCGCAATCTCTTAGAAGTAATGGCAATACAATTTAAAATAGTTGATCATCTCCTGGTGTGAATGAGAGCTTAGTAGGCATAGAGAGGCGAAGTCCCTCCCTTTCCGGTGGACCACCATGGCACCTTATTTTGGAAAAAGTATGTATTGAAGTCAATGGAGAGAGAAAGATTATCTTTCGATCCCGTTTCAATTGTGCCACGAATTACACATATGATGTTTGTCAATTTAAAAGATAATTTTGCAAGTCAAATTTTTTTAAATGTGTGGTAAAACTGTGAAGTAACACTTTATTTTGTGTGAAACCGCTCAATGAACTACATCTCCCGTCTCGCACCACACACCAAGACGGCCGTCACGTTGGCAAATTTCACTTCTTTCTTTCAGAATGAAGTGAAAAGTATTAAAAGAGGTGAAAATCACTCCAAGTCTGGGCACGTTGAGAGCTGTACATACACACAAGGGGAGTTAGTCGGTTCCGTAAGAGCCAGCATGCGGGACCGGGATTCTGGGATTTGTAACAAATCCCAGAATCCCGGTCCCGCATGCTGGCTCTTACGGAACCGACTAACTCCCCTTGTGTGTATGTACAGCTCTCAACGTGCCCAGACTTGGAGTGNTCTTCACGTCTCTCTGTCTCTCACACGTCCTCCAACTCTCCACCCTCCCAGAGATACTCATTTCCGCAGGGCAGAGGTGTACGACACGAGTATGACCGGTGTGAGCCCGACACACGACGACAGGCCGAGGCCCCTACAATGGGGGTAAGAGGACGTTACGGGGGGGGCGAAAAGGAGAGTAGCGCGCGGGCGTCCACATTCTTCTCCCGTACGGCAGGAAATAAAAGGAAAAGGAAAAAGAAGGGTACACTTTCTGCAACGGTCAAATTAACTTACATTAATGTATTTGTGTTAAAGTTGAAATCCATCAACTTTCAACTCTTTGGGGGTTACAAAAAAATTAAAGGGTTTGGGAATTATAAGCTAACCGGAAAATTCGATTTCGGATTATGTCAATACACTTTACACGAACTGGGGTATTCTATGTAACGCGCTTTTTTCAGTTCGGGGCAAGAGTCCACTAGGTCCTATCTTTCCTTTCGGATTGCCGGGTTACACGAAAAAGGGAGTTGAGGTTGGCAGAAGGATTCCATAGGGTCCCCTGATTCTCGTACTCGTTGGTACACACTACTCTATCGGTGATCGTATCCGGAACCGGATAGTACAAGAACGGTTAGTAAAAAAAGTAAAGCCTTCTACACTTCTGTCAGCGACGAGCAGTCACAGAGTTACTACCGGCCTACGCAGACACACACACACTAGCACTGCAGCTGCACACACACACACTCTGAGCAGAAGAAGAAGAAGAAGAAGAAGAAGAAGAAGAAGAAGAAGAAGAAGAAGAAGAAGAAGAAGAAGAAGAAGAAGAAGAAGAGGAAGAGGAAGAAGAAGTGACGTCAGCGGCTTCATTTGCGTTATCTTCCCTCAGGGAACTTATTCCGATGTGAACGCGATTGGTCCTTAAGGCCGCTACACACCAACCTGAGACCAAAGAACGCATACCGAAGGCGTCCCGACTTTTACATCCGCTACGTTGCCTGCGTCGGCTACGCCACCCGCCTACGCCACCCGCCTACGAACACACCGCAAAGACTTCAGTTGACGAGTGGCAATAACTGTCCTTACCAGCAGGCAGCGGTAGTGTGTATTCGTCATTCAAAAGAGGCAACAGCCGGAAGACAGACTATACACCGAGAGAAGAAGAACAGGTTCCATTTTCACTCTCTCTCGTCGATCGAAAACATGTAAACATAAACATAAAGAAACTCTTGCGTCCAGGTGAGATGAAAATGAAAAAGATTATCCGTCTGTGTGTGCCTTCTTAATCATTTGTTTTGGTCCCTCACTTCCGCTTCGCTTCTCATGCACTGACTCGCTAAGCTGAACAGCCAATCAGAGTGATTTCTTTGTTCCGACTTTCTCTGACCTCCGCAATGCCCGACTGCCTCTGACGGCCTCTGACTCCCAAAATCGGGTAGGGCTGTCAGGGCCTTTAGTTCCATGGGGGAACTAAGTGCTGGGAACTAAGTACGGCAAAGTACTTGGTGTGAAAGCGGCTTTTTGACCTCCATGTTTATTCATGACAATGTGTAACACTTAAACAATAGTGAAATACTTGCAGATACTTTCCTACTGTTATACATATTTCCTTCATGCTAATTGTGAACCCTCTTGTTGAAATGACGGCTCAGCTGACTGAAGGTTTAGATTATTAAAGGCTTTATTTGGAGCTGTAGTGTGGGACCTTTACATCTAAACCTAAACCCTAACACTTTTGAATAAAAAAATATAAGTAGCCCTCGCTTGAGCACA